ATAAACCCTAAAATCCCAAAAATCCCTAAAATCCCCAAAATCGACCTCCAAATTTTTGTTTTTGTTTTAAAATTCGTTCATTTATTTTATGCAATCAATAATCTCACACAAATAATTGTTTATATATATTTTCATATTCATCACCAAAACATATTTTTATAAATGTATATATTATATAACATTAAAAACAATCCTCACAAAAAAAATATCAATTTTATTTTTCATTCAATAAATCCTAAAATCCCGAAAATCCCTGAAGTCCCCAAAATTGACCTCAAAATTTTTGTTTTTGTTCTAAAATTAGTTCATTTGTGTTATGCAATCAATAATCTCACACAAATATTGTGTATATATATTTTCCTTTTCATAACAAAAAACATATTTTTATAAATATATATATTATATAACATTAAAAACAAAAAAACCCTAAATTTCTAAAATCGAGCTCCAAATTTTATTTTTGTTGTTCAAAACCTCGTTCTTTGATTTATTGCAATAACTAACACTAGTCAAATATTGTCTGAAAAATCCTTAAAAAGCTACAAAATTAAGAAAAAAAATAAAAAAATTTGGCTTCGGGCTTACCTTGTCTGATTCAATATCAAAATTGAGCCCCAAATCTCTCCATTTCAATGAAATCAGGAGTCTTGAAGTATATGTATCTCTGTGATCATTAAAAACCCCAAATTTTTATCGAAAAAAATTGAAAAACCAGGCCAAAATCAAAGGAATGGCGGATTTTTTATAAAAAGCTCAAGAACACCAAAAAACGTACCAAAAATCACCAAAATCGATCTAATCTTGGAGTTTTTGATTCAATATTGATAGATTTATAGAAGATTTGAAAGTATAGTATAATTATTGAGCCAAAAGAAACAAAAAAAGGGCAAAAAAAAACACCAAAAAGCTGCCAAAAATGACGGATGACAGGTTCTGCTTAAATAACAGGCACTATTCTAAATAACAACCGTTATTTGTTGTGCGTCGTTATTTCGTCATATTGCCCCGATATAACGCCATACCCGACTGGTTTTCACAATACCGGTCGGATTTTTTTCAAGATGCTATGTTTTTTTACTAGTACACTAAACCAGACCTAACCAGAATCGCCACCCCATCGATAGCGAGCTAACCAGCCAGTTTCGATTCCGGTTCCTGTTCCGACCGGCCAATTTTTCGAACACCGGTCAAAACCATCCTTATACTAACCTTTTTCAAGCAACTCAGCCTAGACTCCCTAAAAAATTTACAAACTCTTTTCTCCCGCATTTCCTTTTATCTTTTCTCACCATTTCTCTGTTGCCCCTCATTCTCTCTCTCCATCGTTCTCTTTCTCTACTCTCACCTTTGTCATCATCTTTTTCTCTACTGTAAAGCCCTTTATTCATTGCGATGATTCTTGGATATGCTAATCCTAATTTGATGTCAATACTGATAAACTTCTATTTTGTTCTTTATTTTGTAGCTTTTTTTTGTAAGTAAAACTATCTTTTCAATTTATGTTTACTCAGGTTGCTTTTCTTTTTTAGGATTTCTAAGGAGCACCTTAATTCAACATTTTAAGGTTGCAACCTTATGAACGTTTTCTTTATGGGAAATT